GCCCAGTTCACGCGCTGCCCGGGCCCGATTCGTTAGGCAGCCCGCGCTCAAACGCCTAGTCTTTCCCCCCTGCCTCCCCACCTCCTCGCAGCCTGTCCCTCCGCGGAGACCCAGCCCTCCGGCGACCCGGAGAAGAGACTAACACCGAGAACTCCAACGGTCCACCTTCCCGCTCCCCTGCCACCGCTCCAGGCCAGGACCCTGGCGGCCATCGACCCAGCATCTACCTCTGAGCACACGCAGAGATGCAGCGTTCGGGGAGGGGAAAATCAAAACTGGAAACCACAGTCGCCACGCTCGGGGGTGGGGGGCGGGGGAGCGCTCCGCCGGTGTGCTGTGGGGCGCAGAGAACGCACATCCCGGGCGAGCCCACGACCCTGCCCTCCAGCTGGCTACCCAGTCCCCGAGGTCCGCCCCTCCCCGGAGCTGCTCCGCGCCGCCCTCCCGCCGCAGCCAGCAAGCCAGGGTGGGTGGGGAGACCAGGGAAGCAGTGGAGGAGGAGGTGAGAGAGGAAATGGGGGGGAGGGTAGAAAGGGAAGGCAGAGAGAAAGAATACTCTGCCCCTGTCTTTCACAACTAGCAGGAGAAAGAGGAGAAAAACCTGCCTGCCTGCCAACTGAACCCTCGAGCCTCGCCGGCTTGAACGCGGAGCCGCCGCCGCCTTCCCGACACAGCAGCCTCACCACCGAGTGCGCTGCGACACCAGGACCTCCAATTTGACTTCCATAGAGACTATTGGCGATACGAGTTTCTATCAGTTCCAGCTGATTTATTAAAATTGTCAAGATACAAGACTTCCAGCGCGCGCGCACACACACACACACCAAAAAAAAAAAAAAAAAAAAAAAAAAAACAAAAAAAACCCAGGCAATGATGTCGACAGTGCATTGAGTCTGTTTTGCCACCATTTGCTACAAAATATGCAGATGGTCTGTACTTTATTTAGATTATATTGCACAAAATGAGAAACTTTAAACTATGTGCCTTTTTTCTTTTTTTGCTAAAAATCGAGAATCCAGTTTCAAACCTTCCATCTGGGGCCCCATCCACACATCACAGCGTCTGAGATACATAAAGCCCTACTGTACAGTACATATACAATCTTTAAACTAACGTAACAGTTCTCAGGTCTATATCACCATTTTCAATAAATCTTTACCTACAAATATGGAACAAATCTCTACTATAGCTGTACAAAAAAAAGTTTGCTTTTTTTAAACCACAAGGCCTTTAGATGCAAGGATTATTATAAAATTTTAATCCTTTTTAAACCAGGACATAACGTACCAACATACTTGCATGCTAAAAAAGAGGAAAAAAAAAAATCAAAAGGGAAGAAGTGCCTGAAAGTCTTACTGAAAAAACACAGCAAGAATGTTCCCTTTTCACTGTACAAAAATACGCCTGAAAATATATTAATTTTTAAAAAAGACTGAGGTCTGTTATGTATCAAAAATGTTTCAATACCTTTTGTACTGAGGTCTAGGCTGTCTGGTATTTAATCAAGGAGGTATAAGGGAACAAGTTACAAAAAAAAAGTTGGCAAGTAGAAATCACATTTGTAAAACCATAAACAATTTGATCTGAAAAGTAAACTCTGATCTTAAATCAGTTCACAGTTTTTTTTTTGTAAGCGTTTGTACAGTCTGCATTTTTTCAAGCTCCCTGCAGTTTTGTTAAGAATCGGATGCATAGAAGACATCAGTTTTCTCCCTCCAAAAACTAAACTAAAATAAAAAAGTTGCAATGGTCCCTTTTTTTGTTTGTTTCTGTTTTTAAAAAAAACCACCAGTTCTTTAAGATCTCTTAAGGAACAAAAATCTCCACCAACTCCCTAGAGTAACCGTTGTGCTGCCGTAAGGGTTCTCTGCAGACGTCTTCCAGACTTCAAAGACCGACAAGCTTCAAACAGCGCCTTCCGGAGCGGGTCCTCCCTCCCTCCCCTCCGCCTTTGTTGCAATCACGAATTTCAGGAAAAAGAAATAGTAATTACAAAAACACATGGGGGGGGTCACAACTCCAGACTAGGTATGCAACTACCTTGAGACACAATAAAGGAGGGGGGGAACAAAAAAAAAAAAAAGGACAGGAAAACTGTTTAAAAACTACTCATTTCACTTGAACTCCACCAAAATTTTCATCATTTCCAATTTCTTTGCGTCACGACATCTTATCAATATCATCAGCATCTTCTCTCCCCTCCCCCTACCACCACCGTCGCCACCATCACCACCATCATCATCACCACCACGACCACCACGACTTCCTCCCAAGGAACCCTGCTCTGCGCCCGCGGAGAGAAAGAGCGAGGAGCGGGCGCCCCTTTCAATACGTGAACACCAGGTCGGAGAAGTTCGCCTCCAACCAGTCCCCCGCGATCATCTCGCTCAGCTCCGGCGTGCAGTAGTCGGGGAACTCGAAGTGCGAGCCCAGGCTGCCCTCGCTGAACGAATCCAAATCCTTATCCACCAGCGACAGGGACAGGTTCCCGGCCGCCGCGCCGCCCCCCAGATGCTGCTCGCTGGTGCTGTGCGCGCTTTGGGAGAAATTCAAGCTCAGATCGAACATCAGGTCGTCGGTGTC